CACAAACATTTCTAATGTTTTTGAAAATATATATTTGTTTTTGTACTTATTCTGTCAATAAATGAATATGTTCCTTCCACGACAAATTTTGATCAAGAATTAAACTAAGATTTTTTTTTATACAACTTAGAATGGCAAACAAGCTAACGGCTCACCTGATGGAAAGTGGTAACCGTCGCCTATAGACATGAGCAGTACCATGCACATAACAGAGTATACTGTTTCGCCCATGATACCCCCCATGCGTTGCCATCCCTGAGGACTCAGATGTTATTCCTCTGTACCCAGTAAATTCACGCCATATCCCACCCTTCAAACCGAAACACAGCCATGAAAACACAACTGCTTCACGGTAGAAACACGAATGGGACAGAGGTACCCAAGCAATCGTCAGTTCTGGAGTAATTTGTAAATAAATCACCTTTACAATATTATCACTAAATCACAATATTATTTGTAAGTAAAGTCCACATTTATTACCAAATATGCGATATTTCATAACAATCGCAATTTCAATTATTTACTTGTATTAATAACACATTAATAGAACTTATAAATAAGACCATGTATTGACTCCATCGAGTCCACATAATTTATCGACTATTATACACCCGTACCGTATGGTCCCGGCATAGGCCACCCTTTCCTTTCCCGTGGGTGTCGTAAGGATCGACTAAGGGAAGGCGAGGGATGGGCAGCAGCGTTCGTCTTTAAACATATGTTATGCTTTATACTCGTATACAAACTTTATAGATACTTTTCTTCTTAGGTTCTCAAGGTTGACTGGAAGATATCCCTTTAAAAGTTAAGTCCGGCTGTGTACATTTTTGCTATAACCTAATATTTAAGTTAAAAAGTAAATGTACAAAATCATATAAATAAATAAATACAATTACATTGTACATTTAATATGAGCATTATACGAAAAATACATAACGCTGAGTTAATATTTACTTGTTCCTTCTGTTTCATGAAGTCACTTGTTTAATTGAACTGAATATGATTTCGGGAATCTTCCTAAACAAATATAACAAATGAACCTTTGAGGTTTTATTAGGTATATATATATATATATGTATATGTATATATATAATAATATTGTATATATATATATATATATATATATATATATATACAATATTATTGAAAAATGATGGCATATAATATATAATAGCACAAACTACCTTCTTTTTATTTAAAATCCATCAGAATATATAGACACTTTGGTTTGTTTGTTGCTGGTAATTCTCTTGTTTTTGAGTAAATTCTTCTTCCTACTCTTATCCCAATTATTATATAGGGTTGGCGTAATATGTTTTTTATCTATATTACTTTTAGATTTGGCTTAGTTTTACTCGTACGATCGGCCACCAATATATATATATATATATATATATATATATATATATATATATATATATATATATATATATATATATATATATATATATATATACACATATATACTACTCAGGCGGATTGGCAACCGTAGTTAGGCTATGGAGATGTTTTAAGAGGGACGCTGCTGCTCATCGCTCACCCTCCCTTAGTCGATTCTTACGACACCCACGGAAAAATAAGGGGTGGCCTATTCTATCATATACATAAACATATATACATACATATATATAACATAAATTTTTATCTCAAAATTCTTTGAATTATATTATAAAGTTTAAAATACGTAACACTGTATTTGAATGGCGTATATTTTTATCGTTAAATAAGAATTATTAGTAGTTAATGTAAAAGTCATAGTTCACTTCACAATACGATTTGATTAATATCTTTATTAAACTAGTAAAATATTACTCAACCGATAAAGCAAGATTAATGTCACCAAATGAAATTTACCAAGTTGAGACGAAGCCAGAAGTGGGTGGGATGGGGGAAATTGTGCTAATGATAGCTTTGGATCTAAGTGGCTTTGTTTGTTGGCTTTTTGGCCGTGACGTTATTTATTAGAGAGCCAGAACGTTTTTATGGCAACAGACTGTTGCTTGCCAAAGCGTATTGTTCAATTCTGGCAAAGAAACGTTTTAAGAGAAGATTTTGGATTTATATAAGTTTTATTTTCGTTGATCGCTGAATATTATTATTAATGGACACATAAAGCAGTATTTGATTAATGTATTGAGATATGATGATGTTTGGATGTTTGTTATATAATTACTATTTGGCTTTAGAGATAGCACCATCAAAATAAGAATAGGCCAAGACACCATACCGGCATATACAGACTAACAGTGTATGCCGGCTGCAAATACAGCGACCCGGAGGTTGTCGTCTCCGGAGTAGAAGCCGGGGTAATGGGGTACGCCTCGAGGCCCCTACCTCGACCGCCCACACATCATCTGGCGGGCAAAGAGAAGCCCTTGATTGATTGAAAATAGGCCACCACTTTCTTTACTGTGAGTGTCGTAAGAGGCGACTAAGGAGACATAATGGTAGAGGAATAATTAGCAGCGTCCCTCTTAAAATATCTCTAAAAGACTTACTGCGCTTGCTAACCTGCCCACCAAGCGTGACAACAACTGGCAAAACTCCCCTCAAAGAGATGTCTTATGTTCAGTATTGGCCAGTTAATGGCTGAAATGATTATATCTCCTTATATGCATCTATACGTGAGTATCATTATTTCAGCCATTAAAAATTTATTTTATTTATTAATATATTAATAATAATCAAACAATACAGGCATACTTATATTTACAAATGTTAATATTGCAGTCATATCGAACGCACGGCCATCGAAAATTTTCTCTACAAGTATAATAGTATAGTAGCTTCCTAAAAAAAGATTTAAATTGTGAACGCACCAACAAAGTACGGGATGTTTCATAAATAAAAAAAAAAAGAAATATACGTTACGTAGTAAACATTTGAATTTAGATCGTGGGATTGTGTATTTACATATAGATTTGTTTTTGGAACGAGCAGTTTGTTTGTTCCGAAAAGAACAACGGCCACTTTAATTACAACAAAATTAATATGAAACCAACACGGGGTTAAATCCTATTGAATACAAAAGGAATTATGAAAATTGGTTTAAATTGGCGACGTAATCGCCATCATTTAGTCGAAGAAAAAATCTGATAAATGAAAAATCTCTTTCTTCAAGAAGTCTCTTTCAAATTATAAATTTGTTAAAAATTATGAATACCCCAGCGTCATCTAGTTCTAGACGATAATATATGGCATAAAATGTGGAAAGAAAATAATATATTAATATTGGATGGAATGTAATTTTTTGGAATATGTTTCTTTAAATTGACACGTTGTCTTTATTTCCCTATTCTCCTCTTAAGATATCCTAGGGTTGAAACAATTTGGTAACTAATTTGTTTTCAATTGTCTTCAAAAAAAAAGAAGAAGATTCTCAATTGATTTTGTTTTTTTTTTATCTATATAACCTCAAATCTCCGGGGGGAAAGGGATTGTTAGTAATGGAGACTGAGAATTCCATTGCTAGCAATATACCCAACCAGGTCGACCTCCTCGCGGTTCCCCCTGGAAACTATCATGGTTAATTCCTGAAGAATTCATCATGATGGGCTAACTGGCCTGTTTTCATTCTCATCTATCACCCTTCACTGGTGCTCCGCCAGCGTATCCCATTAGCGCAGGCGGGGTTACCATACCATTTTCACCCATCAAAACAACCTCAAATCTCCGTCATTTTCAAATTCAAATTGTCCATATTGTAATTTATCAACCAACTTCAAAAAGAATGTGATGTTAAATTCTGTCGCATTTTCTTTACATTTATTACCTCAAAACTCTGTCAGTTGTAAATCTTTTAGCAAAATTCTTTTTTTTTATCTAAATGAATGTACTTTTTATTTGGTCTTATAATTTTTTTATCAAAACTGGTTTAGTAATTCAATTGTCGTATCAAAATAGTGCCACGGTTTAAATTGGCATTTTTTTTTAATGAAATTAGACCTACTTGTTTATACACTAAGATATGTCTAGTAAATTTGATATGTCTAGTAATATTACAACTCCATGTTTTGCTATTTTATCAACGAAATATCACAATGCCATGTCATATCAAGATATATCATACGGTCCAACAAATAAGCTTCGACAGTACGCATACCCGCAATGTAGACACTCAAGGTCAATTCACCTAATACGAATAGCACTGAAATGATTCTATCTCATTGTATGATATATACTTTTTTTTTATTTATTATCACAAAAAAAAAACAAGAGTTACAGAAATTATGTTACATTACCAGAGGGAGACTTTGTACAAACGTCGATTGCTTGGGTACCTCTGTTACATTCGTGTTTCAACCGTGAAGCAGTTGTGTTTGCATGGCTGTGTTTCGGTTTTAAGGGTGGGATATGGCGTGAATTTATAGGGTACAGAGGAATAACACCTGAGTCCTCAGGAATGGCAACGTATGGGGGGTATCATGGGCGAAACAGTATGTCCATGTTACTGCTCATGTCTATAGGCGACGGTTACCACTTTCCATCAGGTGGACTGTCAGCTTGCTTGCCATTCTAAGTTGTATAAAAAAAAAAACTATTTATATAATCTAAGCTGTGTACATACTTGTATATACTTCCATTGATAAATTATATTACTCTGGTTTAAAATATTTCGATTAGTTTAGACTATATTGCTTCATTGCATGTTGTTTATAATCATTCCATATTTCAGACAAAAAAGAGTTTTATTTGTTTATTCTTTAAATTTCTATTACAACGGTACAGAATTATTTTTATGCGAGTGTTTGCCTCTAACAAAAATAAAACTATAGTACATTGAAGACCTTTTAAAACAATAAATGAGCACATAGATTACTTCTATTACTGACAGCTATTCTGTAATAAAGTTAGTAGACATAATAAGTTGTCTCTTTCACTCGCGACCAAACGTAATATGTAAGACAAAGACTGTCTCCAGCACTAAGTTTCGCATGGCTTGCCACTGCGGATAGATACCGAGAGCTCTGAGGCTAATGAAATCATTCGTTTGTTCGCAGAAGCCGGCGGACTCCGCACCACTGAACTCCGTATAACGCCGCGTGTCGTCCAGAGAGGGAGAAATGTCACTATGGAGTGTGTATACCAGACACACGACTATAGTATTTACTCGGTCAAGTGGTACAGGGGAGTTCAGGAGTTCTACAGGTACTCTCCTTTGGAAACTCCCACCACTAGGGTAATGCCGGTCAATGGAATTAAAGTTGATGTAAGTATATCTAACAGTAATAAGTAAAGTCAACAATAGTACTGTTGTAATATAGATACATATATGGTATCAGTTAAAATTATAGACCTATTTATTATAATTATAAGCAACTTCGAAAAGGAGAAAGATATGAATTTGCTTGTATTTTTGGCAGACTTCAAAAAGGAAGCCCATAATTTAATTGTTTTTAATGTTGGTTCCCTGAAAACTCCGACCGACAATATCTCATAACATCAGAGGTCTACAGTGAAATATTTTCCAAAATTTCGGAGCCGAATCTAACACAAATTTGATGTCAATATCACATAATACTACTAACTAATATGTTAAGAAATATTAAAAATGTTAAAATATCATTTAAATATCTTTGGTAAGGTAGAATTTATGACGAACGACATAGCTCACAACAAGTTTCATTTACTGGGCCGATTCCAATATGAACAAAAACACAAAATTGAATCTTAAATTCGAAAATTTCATGATAGACCCCTATTGGTCAAGTTTTAAGGAATTTTAGAGGACATAGTTACGTTGATTTTCATGAGGCACTGTACATAAAGATTGACCCGACCATGTGTGTAGGCATCCTATAATTATTTGATGCCCACTCCAGGATCCAAGCAAAACTTCACAAAAATCTGAGAGTACGCCTCTTCGTACACATTTCTTTCGTGAGATGGTGATGCCTTCTGACGTCAAGAGTTTCCAGGCCTCTTTGTCGTAGACCTTAATCTATCTTAAACTAAGACTACTCGCTCTCATATTCTTTGTCGTATGAAGCTTCATTCTTTTTAATAATCCTAGATATGAATTTCGAATAATCAGAGATATAGGCAGAGATTCGATCTTGAATCCTACGATTTCATTTGATCTTAAAATTCCGGTCTGTAATTATACATATATATCCAACTGAGCTATAATAACTGTAGGGCTAGTAATAGTACTAGCCTTAGGTATAGTGAAGGTTAAAAATTGTTTTTTTTTTTCACAGAGGTTAAGATCCAATGAAACACACGTGGTATTGTTACGAGTGACGCCGCCACTGAGCGGGAACTACAGCTGTGAGGTGATACTGAATGCTCACTCGTACCCTCACCAGACCGCCACAGCGAGGCTTGACGTTGTTGGTGAGTTGATGACGTCATCGTTATTTTTAACCGACTTCAAAAAGAAGGAGGTTCTAAATTTGCTTGTGCCTCTTTTCGTTTGTCACGTAATAACTCCGTTAGTTGTAAACCGATTTGGAAAATTATTTCTTTATCTGAAAGATATGCTTACATCCCATTGGGTCCCATAGAAATTTTATCAGAATCATTTAAAACGAAAATACTAGGTTTTGCCACATTTAAAGTTGTAGTTTATTTCGTTGAACACCATCTTAATAATTATTTACGTGCAGTTTATTTTCTTTTTATTTAAATTCTTTAATAGATTTTGAACTGGTAAAAAATAATTTAAACTAAATAAATTAAGCATACGATATCAGTTTTAGAAGAATTCAAATTGTTACTAAACTTTCACATTTTTTTTTATTATTATTTTCAATTGAAACATAAGTGACATATTTTCAATTCATTTTGCATGATTAGAGAAATAAAATATTTCATAACAAATAATTTGAATCTTGCTAAAAGTCATCAAAACATCTAATCATTCCATTTTTTAAAATATTATTTTAGATTTAAAAACTCGTACTTTGATAATTTATTTTTAATAAACGCATTGTAACAAAGCAAAAGTTTTTAAAATAATTATAAATCAACATACTGAAGTTACATCAACAGGTCACAAACACGAAAATGGTAAATTAATTATAAAAACACCTTCGTGTACGACAAACGCCAAAAGAAACCGCTGCGTCAAATTGCTGTCAACTCAACTCGAAGGAAGCGTACACAAATATGCAACAAGCGCGTCATTAGATTAAGGTTTCCGCGAATCCCTGATTTCAATTAGGGATTTCTTGGAACTGTGCATGTTATAGTAAAATATTTCTTCAATATTTCATTATTGGGTTCACGCTTTATATCAATTAATTGCAATTCTTAGAAGTAGCGAATATAGTGCAGTTGTTTATTAAAAAAAATTACTGTCATTTGCTTCGTGCTTCATCAGGCGCGTAAAGCAGTGTTCCAGTAAGTTACCTTTGTGTGCAACTGCCTATGTAAGTCTTTTTAACCCCCTGAAAGAGCTCAGGTCAGGGGAACTCGGGGCCAAACACTTTTCCACCGGATTCGTCTGCCTAGAGCGACTAACCCCTGGTCTTAGCCATCATTGTCTTTGACAGCTGGCTTCTTCTTTTTGCAAGCTGCTAATAATGGATAAACCTATATATACAATTGATATAAAAATAAATAAATATAAAAAAAATCTTATTTGTATAAACGGAACACGCACGCACAACGGCCCAAATGAGAGGCTAAGTGCGGAAAACAGAGTCTTTCTTCTTACAAACGGAACACGCGTTCGCGTATGTACGCGTATTGTACACGTGGACAGTGGGCTCGATGGGTTGCGTCACTTATTTTACTAATACCGTAATTTTAGTAATGAATTATCTAAGTATTTTTAAACGTCGTGTTACCTTTTCATAGTTATTATTATTGTACTTGACCTTAATCTTTAATAAAAAATCGCACATTGTGTTCTGGAAATAAATTATGTATGTGAAAGGCGAACCAGTAGGGTTTTTTTTATACTACTGAGGTGGCAAACAAACATATGGCCCACCTGATGGTAAGCAGTAACCGTAGCCTATGAATGCCTGCAATATCAGAGGTATTACGCGCGCGTTGCCGACCCTGAAGAAACCTCTTTACCCATCTTTTGAAGAACCCCATGCTGTAGTCCTCGGAAAACTTCAGCAGGTAGCTCAAAAAGGTGATATGTCGGTAGGTGCAAAAAGCAGCCGGTTTCTAGTATTTTAATGACTAAATAACTGCGTTGTAAATTAATAATAAATAAATATAAAAAAAAAAAACACAAAAATATTAAATCGAAAAGTTCTTTCACCTGTGGAAAGCTATATTATCAGCAAATAACATGGGTTGTATTTTATTTTCATAAAAATCGTGCGAGCCAAAATAGGTTGCTAGTTTACTATACAGAAATGAAATCTCTTCCTCGCTGGCAAAACTGTGGATTCCGTAGAACGACATAACGAAAACATAACTACGACATTACAAATGTTTGAACAAGTAAATGATTTTAATTCTTTAATATTATTAAGACGTTTTATTTTAAGATCTAGCAATAACTCTATTCGAATATTGTTGTATAAAATGCTTTGAATTGCAAAATTTCCAAGCTCCAACTCTGGTTAGTTATGAATGGAGGATAGTCCTTAATATTATATTCAAAGGAGAATTTAAATTAAATATAAGTTTAGTATAAGTATAAATTTGGAATATGAACTATGACTACAGTAGGGTATTATAAAATATCACGTATACTAAATTTAGTAACGTACCGTGGGTTTCCCCGCGAAAATACCACTACTTATTATACATGCACAAGATTACGAAGATGTTTGTATGGATGTTTCTCTATCAAGCTCATTACTAGTAAGTTAAGCCTAACAGGTCGACCTTCATGCAGTTCTCTCTGGAAATTGTCATGTACAATTTTTGAAGATTTCATCACAACAGAGGGAGACTTTGTACAAAAATCGATTGCTTGGGTACCTCTGTCTCATTCGTGTTACAACCGTGAAGCAGTTGTGTTTGCATGGCTGTGTTTCGGTTTGAAGGGTGGGATATGGCGTGAATTTACTGGGTACAGAGGAATAACACCTGAGTCCTCAGGAATGGCAATGCATGGGGTGTATCATGGTCGAAACAGTATACTCTGTTATGGCCATGGTACTGCTCATATCTATAGGCGACGGTTACCACTTTCCATCAGGTAGGCCGACAGCTTGTTTGCCAATCTAAGTTGTATAAAAAAAATAGATCTACTGACATGCTTCGTTTTTACCTTTAAGAAAAGAGCATACATATTCCTTTTTAAAAGGTCGACAGCACACCTGCAATACTGTTGGTGTTGTGTATGATTATGGGCGGCGGTAGTCACTTACTATCACGTGACCCATACGCCTCCAGTGTTGTAAAAAAAACCTGGCATCTCATACTAGTATCTCACTAACGTAAACCGATAGCCATTCCATTTTCATACATAAAAAAATTGTTTAGAAATAGCAACACATATGTAGTAATAGGAGGCGCTATAGCGCTATATATCCTCTCCGGGGGGGAAAGGGATTGTTAGTAATGAAGATTGAGAATCTCATTGCTAGCAAAATACCCAACCAGGTCGACTTCCTCGCGGTTCCCTCTGGAAACTATCATGGTTAATTCCTGATGAATTCATCATGATGGGCTAACTGGCCTGTTTTCATCCTCATCGATCACTCTTCATTGGTGCCCCGCCAGCGTATCCCGTTAGCGCAGGCGGGGTTACTATTCCATTTTCTACCAAAAAACAATAAATAGTTCTATATATATATCTTATGTTGAGTCTATATTGCTGTTAATATCTATAAGTGTTATTATTAATTTGCATTTGAAAGACCGTTGTCTTATTTGCTTTTCATGTCCTGTCCAAATTTGGTGATCTCTTCAACTGTGTTTTCAACTTCGAGTTCTTGGAAGGTCTAATATCTATAGAAGTGTAAAAGGAAGCCTTTTACACAATTAGGACTTTCTGGGGACAATAACTTTTTCAAAGATTCGAATCTAAATAGCTTCTACGAAATTAGACAAGAATCAGACTTGGTGATAATCATCTGAATATATCATATTTTAAACCGACTTCAAGAAAAAGAAGGATTTTTTTATGTTTGTTGCCTCATAACGCTGCCAGCTCAAAACCGATTTGAAATATGTTTTTTTTTATCTGAAAAATATACTTACACATTGATCCCACAGAAATTTTATCAAAATCAGATTATTTTAAAAATTTTAATATCTAAACTTTTAAATTAAAAAATTAAAATAACTAGTTTTGTTATAATCAGTTCTTTCTTTCTTGGACTTTTTTTTACTTTTAAATAAAATTTTTAGAAGTTTAAATATTACTATTGTAAACAATTGGCAGTACCTAAGTTTATTACATTCATGGAGATTGTCTAAAAACACACCGAGCCATGATTCCACTAAAACTGCCGTACTAAAACGACCATTGTCTTTCCTTGGAAATTTCTGGCAAAATAGGAGAGGTCTCGAGAAATCCAATTAGGGATAAATTACTAATGAATCTGCCGTTTCTTTTCCGTGTTTTTTTCCGCGCTTGGTATGAGAAATGCGTACATTGTGTTATTTTCTGATAGATGTGTGTGTATTATCGGAAATATTAAAGGTTACACACATTGGCAGACAGACTGACAGATTATATTGTATATAAGCAAATAGACCATTGATATACTAAAAACCCAAGATACACAATAGGAGAGTTCAAAAGTGGCATTGAAAATAGAGCGCATACAATCTCATGCATTCTTTTTTTACCTATCCAGTGTTGATTATAGTGAAACGTGCTTTTTTTATACAACAAAATGGCAAATAAGCTGATGGCCCACCTGATGGAAAGTGGTAACCGTCGCCTATAGACATAAGCAGTACCATGAACATAACAGAGTATACTGTTTCGCCCATGATACCCCCTATGCGTTGCCATTCCTGAGGACTCAGGTGTTATTCCTCTGTACCCTGTAAATTCACGCCATATCCCACCTTTCAAACTGAAACACAGCCATGCAAACACAACTGCTTCACGGTAGAAACACGAATGGGACAGAGGTACCCAAGCAATCGACTTTTGTACAGTCTCCCTCTGGTTTTTTTAACAAACTTTTGCAAAATTAAAGTAAATAGAGTACACTACTAAACATAGAGTTTCATGTGTGATAAATAATCAACCATATCTTCCGGCCACTGTATACCGTTCACTCAGGCAGAATTACTATTCCATTATCATCCATTAAAAGAAAAATATAAACAATCGCTTTCGAGACAAGTTTACACCACTAGAACACTCTCATAATAGTATACTACCATCAGTAAACAGGAATTGCAACGCATGGGTGGTATAATGGGCGAAACAGTATACTCTGTTATGTCCATGACACTGC